TATACCAGTGTTCAAGAGGCTTGTATAGCTAGACCCTCAATGTAGAAGTGACCTTAATACATATATGTAATTGAAATGGTATAAAACCAATAAGGAGGAGGGGGGATGGGATAGGGTTTTCTCAGGAGGGGAAATGGGGAAAGGGGAAGACATCTGAAATGTAAATAAATAAAATATCCAAAAATGGAATACAACAACAACAATAACAAAAGAGACAAAGAATCACAGTAAGTTTGAGGTTAGGCCAGTCTTGTCTACAACAGTGATGCCTAGTACAACCTGAGCTACATAGCAAGACCTTATCTGATAACAAGAAAGACAACATAGTCTGGTGATAAACTTTAATTTTTGTCTCTGTTTAGATGGGAGAAAATCTCTAAAGCCATCTTATCTCCCCAAATGCCAGGTACCTTGATGTCAGCACTGAAGTTGTTGATCTTTTGCCAGCCTGAATTTTCAAGGTGGAAGTTGGCCCATCTGAGCAGAAGCTCTTCTGGAGACAATTTCATAAGCTCCTCCAGAGTCTCACCATCTCGAAGCAAGGCCGCCAGTGCTTGTAGACAGAAATGCCTCAGTCAGTATGTCATTTGATAGTGGTCATGTCAAGCACTTGAGTGTTCTCTGTCTCTTTTTCGGTGAAACAAGCCCATGCTGCTCCAATCTCATGATCTCCCTGCCTCAGCCTCCTAAATGCTCAGATTCCAGGTCTGCAGATTCGTACCTCATTTCAGTCTTTTGATACTTTGTTTGGTAATAGAGACCCAGTCTCCAGGACCTCAAACTCTGGGCTTAAGACATCGCTCAGTCAATAAAGAGATTGCTGTGAAACCACAGGACCCAGGTTCAAATGCCACTACCCATGTCACAAGCCAGGTGTGGGAGTATATGTCTGTACTCTTCAGAGCTGGAGAAGTAGAAGCAGGGGTGAGGTGAGGTAGGATGGGGAAGGGGTGGAGTTTGTGCCAGTCTCTGGGCATTCCTATCTAACAATCTAGCCAATTTGGCATGCTCCAGATTTCGTGATAGACCTTGCCTCAAAAGTAAGCCTGGCACTGGAGAGAAAGGCTTGGTCAGTTGCTTCCTGTGTAAGTATGACGATGAGTGCTTCATTCCAGTTCTCCTATAAACCTGGGTGCAGTGGTGTTCACCTGTAACCAAGTCTTGGGGAGGAGGACACAGAAGGATCCCTGGGGCTCACTGGCCAGCTTGGATACCTGGATTAATAAGCTAGGGGCTCATGGACATAAACACATACACACACACACACACACACACACACACACACACACACACAATCCTATGGTGGTGAGAGAGTGATAAAAAAATATCTCTGTGTTTTTATGTCATCATAATCAAATCAAATGTGAACTGTCTGGTCAGCTACAGATAAAAGAACAGTGGTGTCTGGGTTGTTACCCTGAATAGCTCTGGATTCACTCTAGTTACCTTCTCAAGTGAGTTAATTGCAAGCCTGACAATTTTCATGAAGAGAAAGTAAAACTCAACAATAAACATCTTTCAAAAGAAAAACTGTGTCCCATTACCTTCATTCCTGCTTAATTCAATGTCAGCAAACAAGCCAATCTTAATAATCTGCCAGAGCAGTCCCAAAACCAGATGAGGTTTCCCTGCACGCAGATCTTCTGCACCAATGTTCACAACATGACACCCAATGGCAGAAGCAGAGTTCAGTGCCAAGTTCAAATTTTCCTGCAAGACAGCCAAATTATGTACATCTTGACCTTTTCCCCCCACACCCTGTCCACTTGAACCTTCACTGAAAATACCACTAAGTTAAGAAATTAGTACAAGGTATTAATTTCATCCCCCATATTTACAAAAACCAAACTGGAGAGTTCAATGTTAAGAAGCAAATCCACAATTATCATCCTCTCTGGTATTCTTATTGCAGCATTCTATAGGTAGTGGACTCTTTTTCTTTTTACCTGGTTGCTTTTGAATTATGCAGATTCTAAAGTAAAAAAGTCAAGTAATCAAAGTAAATATATCCATGGACATGGTGTTATTTTTCTAAAATTGCCTGAAGTGAAGTCCAGAAGCATATGGCATACATCCAGGTTCCAGAAATGACCCATCTATCCATCTCAAGGACACTCCTGCCTGAATGGGACTTTGCTGTAGAAATTTAGTTACTCATTCAGTGGAAAACAAAAATGCTCCATCCTTTAAGCACATCACCTAATGCTTAAATCATCTTGTTTATTTTGGTGATCTCTTAACTCAATAAGCAATGGAAAGCGCACAGGGCTTTGAGTTCAACACTGAGCAACACCTCAGTGCCAGTGTGAACTTCCAGCAAGCCCCATAAGCCTTTCTGAGTCCCAGCTCATTGCATAAAACATCAATGGTCATTCTATACTCAGAGCTGCTCTCAAGATTAGCAGCAGGCAAACAGAATACAGAGTCTATGGCCTCTGTTTCAAATCACAGTTCATGGAAGAGGGAGTAGAGAACTCCACGCACCTGAATGATGAATGGTGTAAGCTTCTTCTTATTGATTGCTCTCTCATCAATTGTATCAGGAACAGAAAGGTTGATCATTTTGCTGAAACAAACAAAAGTCTGTTTACATTTAAAGAGTCCACCATGTTTGGATTTGTAGCTCACTTTGTAGATTGGTCACCTAGCATTCATGAGGTAATGCGTTCAATCCCCACCACCACTTAACTAGGACATAGAGAAATCTATACTCCCAGCACTAGAGCATGGAGGCAAAAGAATCAGGAGTTCCAGGACATCCTGGACCACATACCAAGTTGAGACTAGCTTGAGAAATACAAGATGCTGTCTCTAACAACAACACTTGAATAAATCTTCATGAATATTAAAGCTTTTTATAAACTATCTTTCATGAAGTATGAAAAATGCAGTCAATCTGGGGCCGAAGAGATGGCCGAGGGGTTAAGAGCATTTACTGCTCTTGTAGAAGACCCAGGTTTGGTTCCTGGCACCCATAGTGAACAGTTCACAACTGCCTGTTAACTCCACTTTCAGGGGATTCCATGCACTTTTTGGCCTTCACAGATACCTGCACAAAGTAGTGTACATAAACCCATGAAGCTACACATAATAATAAAAAGATACAGAATGCCATAGATGACATTTACCATGTTGACCACAAAAAAACTATATATGTCCAAACTGCAGATTAGACAAAATAGGATGACATATTAGTGTGCCCAGATCTGAAAACAAATTCTTATTCATATTCCATGTATGTATATGTATGTATACATACAAACACATGCATACACACTCACACATACAGGCAACCTGAATCTAAGGTTTACTTCTTGTTTTTTTGTGATGCTAAGGATGTGAGAGTTTATTTTTGTTTTCTTTTTGAGATAGGGTTTCTATGTGAAGCCCTGGCTGTCCTGAAACTTACTCTGTGGATAAGGCTGGCCTTGAATTTATAGAGATCTGCCTGCCTCTGCCACCCAAGTGCTGGAATTAAAGGTGTGCCATCACTGCCTCACATGTTTGATTTTTGTTGTTTTTTTCTTCTTCCTTTTGTTTTTCTGTTCTTTCTCTCCTTCCTTCCTTCCTTCCTTCCTTCCTTCCTTCCTTCCTTCCTTC